TGCTTGCAGAAAGAGTTGATCTCATCATTTAGGCAGCTATGCATCAAAGAAAGAGATTCCTTTTTTACAGGACAGCTTGTTGTTGGGGGAAAGAGAGGAAACGCAACATCTGGCTGCAAAAGAAATTAACCGTTAAGGAAATTTCAGACCCAGTACATAGCTCAAATATTTGGATTGTGGTTGCATACTCACATGCTCCTGATCGAGAGCTATCTGGGACATTGCTATTAATGATAAAGGTTGAACTGTCGAGCAATTAGAATTACTTTTATTTCTCCAATTAGGCCAGACAACTTCAGCACCATCAATATGTAAGCATGCTTCTTCCAAATTAGTTCCATCAGGATACCAACCCTTTACACCCCAATGCCTTGGACTTGAGCTACCAGATCTAACAGTAGGAAATCCCCTGTGCTTCCTGGAGTCGCTTACAGGAGAAGGTGGAGGTGGTATTGGTGCCCGTGGAACACAAAGAACTACAGGAGATGGTGGCCGCTTTACTCGAGATTGCTCTCTCCTAGTGGGAGGGATGCATGGGCTTTTATGGTCAAAACCATGGCAGAACTCAGATCTTGATCTTTCCCTTGACATATTTGGAATAACAATAGGCGGCAACATTGGAAATGGATGTGAGTCTCCTGTCTTCCCTTCAACATCACTAGGCAAATTTGCCAAAGATCTAGGAGCATCCTCCTCTGTCACCGAATCATTCATAGTCAGTGAGGAATGAAGCATGTTGGTGGGTAGATCAGGTCCTTGCACCACATAACCAAGCGCCTGTTTTCCAGATCCCAGTGGATCAAAAGGAGAACAGAATGACGTAGCAGTTGGGGATGCCAATCCATTACTGTAAGAAGAAGAGAAAGCAACCATATCATCAACAGTTCGGTTCATGTCAGCTTCACACCAAGCCCATGAGCTATCATCAGAACTAAGAGAAGGAGGTCGAGAAAACCCTGTCCCATGGTGATCAGAAGGATTCCAGTACATTACACCACCACCGAAATACTGATTGTAGTCTAACCCAGAAACTGCATGCATTTCCAATTCTTCCTCCGATATCCAGTTTCCATCACACTCATCTGCTAGGTCCTGATTATTTGACAAATCAGGAAAATCAGTGAGATTACCAGAGTACTTTTCATCTTCCGTACTAATCTGATTGCTGTTAGTAGGGAACCCCTGCCGAAAAGTAGATTGTCTCCTAGGAAGAAACCCAAAATCATGATTTGACGTCATTGTTGAAGCCAAGCCAGAAGCACTTCGTAAGACAGGGGGCCAATCTAGACTCATTAACAGTGGTCGAGTCAGAATTGGATTGCAACCACCTTTAACAGAAGAACTTCTTGGTTGATGCATTGCAGGTGTGAAAGACCGACGGAAATGATTGTGCCAATTATGACCAGCATCTAAATGTAATCTATCAGTAGCAGGCGGGAGATGTGAATTGAACGAAGAATTCAAGGTCCTAGTATTACAAATGTCACCACTAAATTGATCTCGAGATAGGCATGATTTCTCCTGTATATCAAAAGTTCTCGGAAGTTTATCTAACAAAGATGATTTTTCTCGTAATTCACAAGATCGCACAGAGCCATTCACATTGACATCACTTTTGACAATATTCTTTAACTCCAATGAAGGAAAATGAGAAGGAACTAATGTAGATGATACGCATTGATTTTCAATTATTCCTTTTGGGAACTGAGATTCTCCAGGACCAACGTGACAGACAGATTCCGTTGGCCCAGAAATTTCATGTACTTCAACATTTTGGTTACTGTTATACTCTCTATTAGGCTCACTAGAGGGAACTATAGGACTTGAGTTTGAAGTTAAACTGTCATAATTATTTGAACTATCATTCTTGATATTTGAAATGAAAGGTTTTCTGAACATGCTATCCAACTCTGCTACCTGATCCTGAGAACTAAAAGATGGAGAGGAGAATTTAGCGGTTGGCCCTTCAGAAGGTATTATTTCAACTAATCTGTTGTTCCCACCAGAGTTTTTACTTTTGTGTTTTTTCTTCTTCCTTGTAGTACCTTGATTTTTTCCAACACTCATTATATGGTCATGTACCTGTTGACAGGCAACTGGTTACAATGCATTCAAGCCAGTACTTAGATGTATAATTCAAATAAAAACTCATTAAACAACAAATAAATAAACAAAAGCCAAATCAACCGTTTTTGATACATCTGCTGACATTTCTCTGCAAGTATCATTATAAATAAACAAAAGCCAAATCAACCGTTTTTGATACATCTGCTGACATTTCTCTGCAAGTATCATTTCCCTTGGACAAAATAGGCATTGTGGATTCCATCATATCTTCTCTCCCTTTATGAGCACACTCCTTGTCCAAATCCTGAGGCTACATCAATTGGTTAAATTCAAATCAAGCAGATAAGTCCATAATATAATATTTCTTACGCTTCAAAACAAAATTACCTTATGAAATTTATTCAAGCAGATAAGTCCATAATATAATATTTCTTACGCTTCAAAACAAAATTACCTTATGAAATTTATTACATGATAAATCACCTATACATGCCTTCGGCACAGGATTCTGTGATTTCCGGCTCTTTCCCTTTTTCCTTCGACGGGAAGCACCTAGATTCTCTGTTGATTTACTAGGCAAGGACTTACTATTCCCCTCTCCTAGAAGTTCAAGTTTTGTGCAATCAAGTGAAATAAACATAAGAAATTCCCGCAATTTTCTTAATATACAATCAGGGATGGCACAGATAGAACCCAAAGTGCTGTAAAAGAGATTACTCTTATAGTATTCATCATGAAGACACGAAGATACCATCGTAACAATATCCTGAAGCACAAGCAATTTTCTAAATATGTTGGATAAGGAAGAAGGTTGATACCATCGTAACAATATCCTGAAGCACAAGCAATTTTCTAAATATGTTGGATAAGGAAGAAGGTTTTCCAGAATGTGTAGCTGGAATAATGTTGAAGTCTATATGCAGGTCCGCTTGGGATGCTAACATGGACCTTGATGGAGATATAGTACAATTGTACCTAAATGGTTTATTCCATTCGGCACTAAAGAGCCATGGACCTTGATGGAGATATAGTACAATTGTACCTAAATGGTTTATTCCATTCGGCACTAAAGAGCCCCATCTCATGCTCCGCAAGTCCACTTGTCCACCTCAGAATCTCATGTATCTGAAAACTCAAAAAATGACTGGAAGTTAGGTTGAGCATAATGAAAGGTCACACTACAAGTTAAAATTAAAAGCAAATCAAATTTTCAAGGAAAGAAGAATGATGTAAGGAAAGGTCACACTACAAGTTAAAATTAAAAGCAAATCAAATTTTCAAGGAAAGAAGAATGATGTAAGGGATATCTTTGTAATTATCTTAACTAGCAACTACATTAATCAATTAGTTTAAGTTTAGTACTGTCACTTAACTTAGTTAAGCAGTTACCAAGTGTTGTTATTGTAATAATTCCTAAAATTTCAAAACCTAGACTAAAAATATGAAGGGTTGGGTTCCCCAGTTGTTATTGTAATAATTCCTAAAATTTCAAAACCTAGACTAAAAATATGAAGGGTTGGGTTCCCCAGCTGTTACAATTTTTGGATCTGATAAAAAGACCCACCTTCTGCTTCAAGACTACACAATTTTTTATTTAACGAAATAAAGTTTCTTATTTTAGAAAATAAAAAGAAAAAATAAATCCATTCCAATAGTTATACTTATATCAAGATTAACTCTCAAATTAAAAATTTATTCTAGAAAGGGTAAAGAGGGGATAGAGGGATGGAAAAAAAAAAAAAGCTAGGGTGGGGACCTTTTGGGATCGAGCACGTATGGAAATGGTGGAGTGTGGGAGGTTTATGCAGGGGGTAGTTTAGGTTTATAGTGAAAAGGGGGGATTTTTTGTGGACAATGTTGTCTAGAAGGAGAGAACCAGCTCTGTGAGAACTTGCTGTTTTTTTATTCTAACAATTTTCAATACAATAGGCTAAAGAAAATCTCCTCGTGGGAAGATTTGAAGACCAAATTGTTTGCCATATTCCATCCATCACGGGAAGGTAGCCTATGTGCTTGATTACTAGCTATTGAGCAAGAATGAATGATAGCAGAATATTGAGCAAGGTTCAAAACCTATTCACCGTCGTTACTGAAGGACCTGCTTGCGATTGAACCCAACAATTATGGCAGTGGTTGTGAGTCGACAGCCAGTTGGGCTCGAGGATATTATGAAATAGACCCATTTAATAGAGGATCGTGATTTGGCAATTAAAATGGCAAAGGGATCCATAGGCCCGGCCCCAAGTGGAGAAATTGGCAAAACAGGCCACAATAACATTTGTATGAATACAAGGTCGAGTATAACCAAACTAGTGAACCACACCTTTAAACCAACTCGGTCTATTACAATCCTTAGAAAAGGGATCCCTAATAGCAAAGAGCTGTTACGAAGGTTATCAGACACTAAGTTCCAAGCTAAAGAGAAAAGGGATTGTACTTAAGGTGCGACGAAAATATACGATGAATCACCATTGTAAAAACGTAAGGTATGAGAGCTACGAGTTCAATTAATAGTGAGTTTGGGGAGGTTGAACTCAGATAGGAAGAATCATTCGAAAATGAGTAGAAAACTGCAGAAGCCGAAGCATAAATGGTGGGTGATATAGTTGAGTTTAATTTGAAATCAGCCATTGGTTTTTCCGCACCAGGAACAATAAATGGTGGGTGATATAGTTGAGTTTAATTTGAAATCAGCCATTGGTTTTTCCGCACCAGGAACAAATGAAAGTGCGAGGAAAGGTGGGTAACAAAGATGTGATGGTTTTGATCGATTGTGGCACTACCCATAATTCATCTCACACCGATTGGTTGATGAACGGGAACTTCCAAAGACCGAAACTACGAACTACGACATTGTAACTGGAACGACATTGCTGTGAAGGGCAAGGGCATTTGTCAAGATGTCATGGTACACTTACCGGAGTTAACTATCCAAGAGGATTTCTTACCCTTGGACCTAAGGGGAATCGGTGTAATTTTGGGTACCGGAGTTAACTATCCAAGAGGATTTCTTACCCTTGGACCTAAGGGGAATCGGTGTAATTTTGGGGTTGCAATAGCTGAGAACAAAGAGATTCATGGGAGTGAACTGGACAAACTTGACGATGGCCCTCAAAGTAAGGACCAATAAAGTTACAATTAGAAGGGACCCATCATTAACAAAGGTTGAAGTATTGTCTCAAAGTAAGGACCAATAAAGTTACAATTAGAAGGGACCCATCATTAACAAAGGTTGAAGTATTGTTAAAGATGTTAGCGAAATTGTGGTCAAAGCGCGACCAAGGTTTTCTATTTGCGTTGCAAGTTCTATCAATGGAAGAACAAGGGCAAAAGAGAAAAAGCAGTGATAGTTGCCCAATGAGATACAAAAACTTTTGTAATAATCTACGTCTTTCAACTGCCAACAAGGTTACCACCTAAAAGGAATGCTGACCATCAAATTGTGTTGGTAGAAGGGCAACAACAGGTGAATGTCTGACCCTACAAGTATACACGTGCAAAAGTCAGAGATAGAGAGATGCTGATAGTAAAATGTTGGCTTATAGAATCATCAAACATAGCACAAGCCCCTTGTCTGTTGGTCAATAAGAAGGATGGTGGATGGAGGTTCTATGTTGATTACAAAGCTTTAAACCAAGTGACGATTCCCAACAATTTTCCCATTCTAGTCATATAACAACTCTTTGATGAGCTCTATGGATCCATGGTGTTCTCTAGGCTCGACCTCAAATCGAGGTATCACCAAATATGTATGAACAAGCAAGATATACCAAAAACAATGTTTAGGACTCAAGAAGGCCACTGTGGGCTAACCAACGTTCCCGCTACTTTCCAATTCCTTATGAATCAGGTATTTCGACCCTTTTGGAGACAATCTACATTAGTCTTCTTTAAAGACATCGTATTCTACAGCCCGGATTTTTCCAGTCACCTTATATCTGGGCGCAGTGTTTAACATTTTGAGGGACAATGCGTTTTCCAGCAATGTTAAGAAATGTCTTTACCCAATACTAAATAAAGTGTCTGCCAATGGGGTCAAGGCTGATAAAGGAAAGACTTGAGCCATGATCAACTGGGCAATACCAAGGTCCGTGAAAGAATTTAGGAGTTTTTAGGGGTTGACAGGCCATTACAAATGTTTTGTGTTGAATTATGATATCATGGCAGGTCCTTTACATTAGTTTCTCATAAGGGATTCCTTCATGTGGACTACCAAGGAAACTGTGGCATTCAATGCCTTGAAACAAGGGTGATGCCTCCAGTACTTACTTAACATGATTAGAGATGTTCATATATGTTCATATGACCCAAAAGTCCTAACAACCCAGACTATAAAGTTTGGGTTGGGTTCTTTTTCTTTCTTTCTTTCTTTCTTTTTTTTTTTTTTTTTTTTTGTTTTTTTGGTTGGGTTGGATTTTTGGAAAACCAAAAATTTAGTTCAGTCTACGGGTTCGAACTTTTTTTGTCGGACTAACTGACCAACCAGAAAGTATGTTTAACAACCCAACCCTTCTTTTAGGATTGTTATGAAAATTAAGACCATTTGACATTTCTAATAGGCATAGGTGATACGTTGTGACTTGTGAATATTTGATATTTGACTTCTATCAGATTTTAGTTATTAACGTGATATGTATTGTGGACCAAAAAAATTTCTTAACCCAACCCAACCTATATATACACTTAACCTGATTTTTCTTGCCCTTTTGTGATCAAAACGGATGCATCAAGCACCAGTATTGGTGTCACTCTCCCAACAGCAGCATCCTATAGCTTATTTCAATCAGACCTTATCAGGGCGATAGTGCTGCCAATACAGAAATGGTGTCATTATCTGCTGGGGCAAAAATTTACCCTGTTGACTAATCAAAAATCCTTGTGCCCTATCAGCAGGGAGAGAGATTCAATTAGAATATCAAAAAATTTACCTGGCCCTTGGGTTCTTCTAGTGTTCTTTACATGAAGTTCTTAAGGAACAAAATATGGAGCAAGCCCAATATACACATGTTTGTGGAAAGAGCCACAGCCAGCATCCACTTTGTGTTTATCAGTAGTATTGATGCTTTCAATTAGCACCTCGAAAAAAAGCTCCTCTCCCACAAGTTTAGGGATCAATTTCATATCCTTAGTTGGTTTCATTTTCCTTGTTGCAAATTCACTCATCATATCTTCCAAAATATTTCTGATTTCCAGCAGCATTCTCCTAGACTCCAAATGCATGCTCAAGATCAAACTGCTCTAATGAAATTCAATAGATACTGGGCTTTGGAGGAGAAAATAATATAAACAAGTCATTGATAAAGGAAAGAAAAATACAACACTCCAGCACTTTGAGAGACCTGATGCTCACCCAAAAAAAAATTCTCAATTTTACCCATCTCAACACCCCCTTTACAACCGGTACACAAACAAACTTGTTAGTTAAGGACAATTATGCCCCTAATATATGCTAATAATATCTCTAACCATTTCCTATAAAACAATTCCTCAAATCCATTTTTGAACTCTCCCTCGCATACATTAGAATTTTGGCATGACATAAGAAATAAACTCACTAAAAAAATACCTAATCAAGTTAACGCTCTTTGAGCAACATCTAAGAACCCACAACAAGCTTCTCAAACAGCTCTAAGGGAGTCTTAATTCCACTCATGAAGTGGAAGATTCTTGACTATAATTCACCCCCAGAAGTGGGAATAGCAGATAATATTTCAATGAATGTTTTGGCTACAAATTTCAAGCTTCAGGTGGGCAATTCTCTACGGTAATCCACCCTATCTGAATCCACAAATTAACTATTCCTCAAGAAATAACTACGAAAACAATGATGAACTCCATAATTTAAGCATGTATCTGACAGCCAGAGGCGAGTCGAATTTAAAATGCCAAAATCGTGTTCTAAGTAATCCATTTTGGCCTTTCATTAAACCTATTTTGATCATTTTAGTAGATAATTACCCTACGAAAATAATTTGAAAGGAAAATCATAATTTTTCTTGGGATAATCCATCTCTCGACCTAAATGCTTGGAGTACGGATTAAAGAATGAATAAACAAAAAGGAACAAAAACTTGAGCGAACTTAAGTAAAGAGACGAAATGATTAAACAACCACAACCCGAGTATTGTAAAATAATTAGTAACGAGTTCAACTAAATAAGCATGCAAAACGAACAACATATTAATGTTCCCAGAATTACCAATTGTTTTGCTGATTTTCCTAGAATTGAAGTCAAAAGCTTTTCCCTTGACGAAGCATCCAATTTATCCCACCAGTCCACACATCCCTTCTTCCTCCAAAACACGTTTGTCGCCATGCCAGTTGCCCTAGCCTTCTCTTTGAGCTTCACCGATCTTTTTTTTCCAGTATTCAAGTTCATCCACGCCAATCTCAAAGCCACCTCCAACTGATTTGCGACAAACGCCTCAATACTGTAATACCCTTTCGCTTTTAACCAATTTAATTCAGCCCAATCGGACGTCAGGTCATCCCCTTCACCTCTCAAAAACCACCCATTTGAAACTACATCCATCACCTTGACAAATTTATCCACATTCGCGACGAATTCCTCGCTTACAGTTAAAGAATCGATATTCTTGAACGAGCAAGAACATTCCTCGAGCTTATCACCTTCCCTGGAACCGAATAAACGACAGGACTCAAAAATCATCCTCTCAGACTCACTGGACTCAGAGACGCGAGACAAAAGCCCGCGCGACTTCTTAAAGCATAAACCGGGCAAGTGCAGAGGATCGCCGGATGGAACGTCGGGGAGTAGGATAAAGAAACCATGTCCTCGTCTGCGAACTCGTGCTACCATTTGGATGAGGATTTGAACAAATTTGAAATCAACGACGGTGAGATGAGCTTGGCGTTGGTGAACGGTGAGAGAAGAGAACCATCTAAGGATGGAGGACCTGAGATTGGAATCATGGTTCATGAGAAAGGATGTGGAATGGTAGAGGGAGATATGGGAGGTGAGGGAGTCGATTAGCTGAGTATGAGCCATGATCGACTTGGGGAAGGTGCGATCAAATCATCCGGTTTCTTCGCTGTTCTTTGATTTTCTTTGATTTTCTTTGATTTTCTTTGATGGTCAGCTAGTGCTTCTCGCGTTGCAGAGATAAACCGAAGACGAGTGTGACGGAGGTGAGAATGGAGGAATTAGGTGGCAGATTCTCCCGGGCTATGCCCATGTGGGGTCTAAATTTTTCTTTTCTTTTCTTTTCTTTTCTTTTCTTTTCTTTTTTTTTTTTACAAATATTAACAATTTATACATAAAAACACTCTAGCATTTAATTAATTTGTTATTATTTAATGTACTTTCCAATTTATTTTACCAATTTATGACATGTAAGAGTATTAACTGAAACCAAATGTATTTATAAATTACGTCATTAATTAGTCATATAATATTAACATTTTTTTTTATTAAAAATGATGTGAACTAAACTTGTTTTTTTTAAGGTTAAAAAGGAATAGTTTATGTTTTATTACTTACATGTAATAAAATACTTAAGCCCACGCTGCCATTAATTCACATAATCAACCATTAAATAAACGTTATTTAAATTAATGAAAATAAAAGTATTCTACCAAAATGTCTCTCGATAAAATCTCCAAATGATATAGAATCACTACAAGGAAAATAAAATTCGAATTATCTTAGGATGAAATTGTCAGAATTTAGTGTAACTTATTGCTGGTTTGAATTAATTAAGATATTTGTAATCCGTTTATATTTGGAGATGAGTATATTTTATTTTATTTTCAAGATTTAGTTGGTTTATGTTTTTCGTATTTGTAAGTATTAGTTGGTAGTTTTATCCTATTTAAACTTTGTGAATATCAATGAGATTAACCTCGGATTCCAATTCTATTTTTCATTCTTAACTCTGTATTGTTTCTTGAATAATAATATTTTCAGATCTATTCATACTTTTGAGTGATAGATATTGTGTCACAAATATCTCAAGGCAAAAACATTGTTTGAGATTCGAATCACTCCACAAACAAGATCGATCATGTCTAGTTTGAATGATTCTTGTTAATCAAATATCTCAACGCAAGAACATTTGTTTGAGATTCGAATCACTTCACAAGCAAGATCGATCATGTCTAGTTTGAATCATTCTTGTTAATCAAATATCTCAACGCAAGAACATTTGTTTGATATTCGAATACAATATACATGTTTTTATATAGCCTCAAAATGAAACTATTTAAGACATTCCAAAAGTTGTATCATTCCTACGGTATAATTAACCATTATGTAAATGTAACTTAAAGTAAATAAAAAATCTTAAAATATATTAATGAAATACAACAACTCTAAATTACTTTATTCTTCTTAAATGTGGCATTGATAATTTCAACAACATTTTTCTCATATCTTCATTGAAATATATTGTATGATTGATGTTTTTTTATGTTTAGAGAGAAAACTCAATTGAACTAGTCATATCATCGTCTTCTCTAAAGAAGAAGGTACTCATGACCCTTACTCTAATGGCTTGATACTCAGTTTGTGAACTTGATACAATGAATATAGGTGGCAGGATAGATTTAGAATGATGTGAAGAGCTCAAAATCGTTCATTTTAAAAAATATTCTTAAGCTAGTTGTATGTTACGGTTATACTTTTTCTTCGTGATCTTGACACGCTCACAACCAATTTTAAAGAGAACTTAAGCCCCATATTCATTTTTCGACCAGATTTGTGGTTTCATTAGACTGTCGACAAGGTTTACCTTCGCCAACCGAACATCGCTGGTATGGAATCCAAACTTATTCGACCACACATGTTGTTCATACGTACATGTTCAATTGTTGCGGGACAACAATAGTTCGCTAATTTAATTTAGTTATCCAAAGATAAGTAATCCGCCCACAAGACAATTAGAGGACTCACTAATTCATTCTTTCTCATCTTTGTTCTTAATTTTTATTTTTTTCAAAAAAAAAAATATCATTGATTTAATTCTAATATATATCTTATAATAATACGTAGACATATTTGAAAATGATTTTTAAATGGTTTTACACTTTTAAACAGATTTTATACACAATCAAAATTAAGTTTGAGTGATAAACTTCAAATTAAAAAAAAAAAATGCAATTCAAACCACAAATTAAGTTTTGAAACTTCAAATAAGTAAATAAATAAAGTAAAATAAAATAAAAATTTGAGTAAAATTTAAATCGAAATAAAGAAGTCAGATAACACCACAATTAAATATGAAATGAAATTTCATGGAAAGACGGTGTTGTTCAAAATTATTACAAACGGGGAAAATGGGCCTAAGATACAATTACAAAACGATATATAAAAGACTAAATTACAAGGACAGGGTGGTGTTTCGTAACACCTAAGCTCCGAAGAGAAATGTGTTCTGAAAAATTGAATGTGCAGATGGGTGAGGAGGAGAAATGTGTTGCCAAATGGGAGGAGCACGTCTAGGAGTGGCTGAGACATGTGTCGAGCGTAGATTGGCCGAGGGAAAATAAGATCTAATATATATTGTGTAGGGTTCAAAGGTGCGTCGACTCACCCTCGACCCCCACCTGAGCGAACTGTAATGACCCATGACTACCCTCCTAGCTAAGTGCGTAAGATGCACATGTGAAGTTGCATGTAAGGATCTTTTTGAGTGCGTGACCGGTGCATGAGTTTTCCTTTTTGACTTGTTCGGCTCTTGTTTGACTATTTTTCGCTCTAATTTCAGTATTAACCCTATTAGGACTTGAACTAGGACCTACCAAAGAAATTTCAAGAATGTCATCCATGTAAGTAACTACACGGACTTTAGGCATATTATACTTGTAGGGATCGGTAGGATGTGCTTGCATGCAAACATTCATTGCTCAGGTGGTTAGAAAATACATGTTTAGGACTTTAGATGAGTATGTACTGCATATATGTTATGATAAAATTATTGTTATGCCTCCTGAGATTTCCGAAAGCATATTGTTTTATGTATTACGTAAAGCTAGAAAGAGAATATGCATGACTAGAATAAGAGTTGGGCAATATGGATAAGTATGTTATGCACGAGGCAAAAAAATTTCAAAATGCCCCTATGATGAGATTTTTTAAGAATGCTACTTTATATGTTTGTGATTGATGGATGTTATCTCACCGTTGAGCTTGTTTCCTTGATTGTTGGCATGAATATTACGAATAAGATATCTCCCCAATAAGCTTGAACACATGATGAGATTATATATAGGGTGAATAGGACTTGAACACATGATTAGATTATATATAGGGTGCTCTATGTGATTGATAGAATAATCTCTCTGCAAAACATGCACAAAGAGAACCAAGTTATGCTTAGGGTGCTACAACTAGAACGGTTTACATATTGACGCACCAATAGATTAGATGTCACGAACCCGTGATAGTCCTCCACAAGATCTAAGAATGACAGATAGATTTCCAAATAGCAAATAACTTCCAGTACTAGTGAGCTAGACATAAGCATGGTTAGGGATATGTGTGAGCTAGGCATAAGCATGAGCTAGACATAAGCATGATTAGGGATATGTGTGAGCTAGGCATAAGCACGGTTAGGGATGTGTGACTGGACTTGGATTATCCCGAGGGGTAGTTAATGATTACCCCACGGTGGATCCAGTCTTGGGGAGGGAATTGATCATAGTGGAGCTGTACATACCATGCGGCATGTCCAAATTTTAATCAAGTTATTAACACACTTTGATGTTCAACCGTAGTTATGTATCTATCCAACTCTTTGTTTGTGCGTATGAGTACTAAATCGAAATTTTTTTTCTGAAATAATTAATGATTTTAGCCAGATTCATTCTAAAAAGTTGAAATTGTTCCTTATCATAAGCTCAATTCCTCCCAATTGAAGAAGAATTTGGCAACTGGAAGTGAGGTTCAGAAACGCATAGAAGCAACAACCATCCAAAACATATATGCCTAGCTACTGAGAGGACATAAGATATAGATAAACCAAAAAGATGCGATCAAATTCAAATTCAAAACAAAACTTCAGGCAAATTTTTGTCACGGACGTCCAAAATTACAAATCAGAAAAGTAACAAGAAAGCCCTCTGGCATTCAAAAGATAGTCAACCTAGTTCAAAATATGCAAAGCCATGTTTGATCTAATCAAACAAACTGAATCCCATATCATCGTCACTCTCCTCCTTTGGTTCTTCCTGCAAGTAACAAAAACAATCCCATGTCATGACGATGTACATGAACGGATAACAGTATTATTCTCAGAATTGAAATTGCTCTATCGCCATACCTTCTTCTCTTCCGGAGGAGGTGCAGCTGCGGCAGCAGCCCCACCGGCTCCACCAGCTGGAACAGCAGCAGCGACTGCGGCACCTCCGCCAGCCCCAACGTTCATGATCAAATCCCCAATGTTACGCTTCTCGGCAAGCTTAGCAAAAAGGCTGAACCAGTAGGACTCCGCATCCACTCCAGCAGCTTTTACAAGCGTGGCAAGCTTCTCTGCCTGTTAAAAGAAACACATTACGATCTCATTTCCATACAGATGATAAAACAAACGCTATCACAGAAATTCATAACAAAAAACAATCGTCACACATCGGAACAAATTTCATAAACATACAAGAAAATTTGTAATAACAGAAAAACAATATCTAGATTGTAAGCGTCGTTCTATACATATATATATGAAATTAAAACCAAGAAACAGTTTGAAAAAGGATAACATTCCTAACATTTACAATAATCCTTTTGAATAACACATGATAATCTTCCTATTAATTACTTAGAAATCGGTAAACGAGATCCCGAAAGGTAAGTACTGATAAAGAACATAAATATTGAAGGAGGATGTCATGATTGAAGAGAAACATACGGTGACGGGGATGTTATCGTCGTAGAGGATGAGAGCAGCATAAGAGCAAGCGATTTCACCGACCGACATTTTCACTGCACGTTCAAAAGCGATCAAAATTACAGAAGAAGAAATCAGAAAAAGAACACAATTCCTGAAGCATTAGAATTTGAACGCATTACAGAAATATCAATCAGGAAAAATAATTGAGGATTGAAGGAGAGAGATTTCCAACCAGAAGTATGAGCGAAGGCGAGGCTCTAAGCAGTCTGTTCTTCGCTGCGCAACACGAAAGCGTTCTAGGGTTTGAGAAACTCACCAAGGTAGGGTTTTTATTG